AGAGTGGTTTTTGAGGCGTTTTTGTTGGAGAACTATTTAAATATGCCCAGAAGTAAAAACCAGTCATAAAAGGTTGAAAACCACTTGGTTGGTTCGGACGCCAAAAACCAATGCCGAAAACCGAAAGCCGAACGCCGATTTCTGAAAGCCGAACGCCGGATGGCTTGGTTTTTGGCTTGGGCGAACTCCAAGTGTTTTGAGCCAAGTTTAAAACTTAAGAAAAATATTTTTGAATATGTAAAAGAGATTTTTATGAATTGAGCCTAGAGAGCCAAGATTTGGAATTTTGTGCCGGTCTTGATCACATTAAGACCGACTCAATACAATTCTAGTTCTTCGTTCTTGATTCTGGGTTCTTGGTTCTCAAGTCATCATGCCATGTTCCTTCGCCTTAGTTTTGCTCACTTTAGCTTCGATATGTCGCTGCGGTTTGGCATTATCAAAACCTGTCATAAAAACGAACACAGTTTAGTACGACGGAGGCGTAAACCCGTGTTCCAACAGGATCTTGAGCACCCCAGCTTTAAAGGTCCCAAAAATGGATGTATCTAGCCTTAAATGGATCGTTCCAACTTCAAGGATCCATCCAATGGACAGATTTGGCCTCCAGTGGACCGCTCCATCTTCATAGGTCCTTCACATGGACAGATTTGGCCTCTAGTGGACCGATCCATCCTCATAGGCCCTTCAGATGGACAGATTTGACCTCCAGTGGACTGCTCCAACCTCATAGGCTTCACATGGATAGATTTGGGCTCCAGTGGACCGCTCCATCTTCATAGGTCCTTCACATGGACAGATTTGGCCTCCTGTGGACCGCTCCATCTTCATAGGCCCTTCAGATGGACAGATTTGGCCTCCAGTGGACTGCTCCATCTTTATAGGTCCTTCACATGGACAGATTTGGCCTCCTGTGGACCGATCCATCTTCATAGGCCCTTCAGATGGACAGATTTGGCCTCCAGTGGACCACTCCATCTTCATGAGTCCCTCAGATGGACGGATTTGGCCTCCTATGGACCGCTCCATCTTCATAGACCCTTCAGATGGACAGGTTTGGCCTCCAGTGGACCGCTCCATCTTCATAGGTCCTTCACATGGACAGATTTGGCCTCCAGTGGACCGCTCCACCTTCACGGGTCCCTCAAATGGACAGATCAAGCCTCTGGTGGTCCGTTCCAAGTTGTATAAGTTGATAAAAGTAATAATGTAAAAGAATAGAAAGTAGAGGTCAGTAATTAGATCAAGTAAGGTGATCGGATTACTGGAGAATATAAAGCAGAGGTCAGTAATTAGATCAAGTTAAGTGATCGAATTACTGGAGATAGTCATAGACTCCCGTACCGAGGTTTAGGAAAGATAGGATAAGGAAAAGGATTGAGGCTTAAGGATGAGCTGAAGCCCAGCCCATTAAGAACAAGCTACCCAAAAGGAAGGAATCCTATAAAGAGATTAGAGTAGGCCCCCCCTCAATTGGAGGGACAGGGACGAAGAGAAAGGTGGACGGAGATTGTCTATAATTCAATAAGAGCGGAGTGCCCAACCACCGTCAGATAGATATCGGGTGGGGGTTTAGAGGCTCCCAAAGAATATTGAAAAAAGAGCCCCGAGCAAAGTCCTCTTCCCAGAGGCAACGAATCCCCGAGAGAAGTCCTATCCCAAGAGGTACCGAGCTCCGAGAAAAGTCCTCTTCCCCGAAGCACCAAGTCCTCTTACAAAGAGGCACCAAGCCCCAAGAAAGTCTTCTTCTAAGAGGCCCAAATCCCCGAGAAAAGTCCTCTTCCCCGAGGCACCAAGTCCTCTTCCAAAGAGGCACCAAGTCCCAAGAAAGTCCTCTTCTAAGAGACCCAAAGTCCCGAGAAAGTCCTCTTCCAAAGAGGCACAAAGTCCCGAGAAGGTCCTCTTCTAAAGAGGCACTAAGTCCCAAGAAAGTCCTATTCCAAAAAGGCACAAAGTCCCGAGAGAGTCCTCTTCCAAAGAGGCACAAAGTCCCAAGAAAGTCCTCTTCTAAGAGGCCCAAATTCCCGAGAAAAGTCCTCTTCCAAGAGGCACCGAGTCCTCTTCCCGAGGAACTAAAAAGAAAGAAAATTCCTCTTTCAAGAGGCACAAAGTCCCGAGAAAGTCCTCTTCCAAAGAGGCACAAAGTCCCGAGAAGGTTCTCTTCTAAAGAGGCACTAAGTCTCAAGAAAGTCCTCTTCCAAAGAGGCACAAAGTCCCGAGAGAGTCCTCTTCCAAAGAGACACAAAGTCCCAAGAGAGTCCTCTTCCAAAGAGGCATAAAGTCCCGAGAAAGTCCTCTTCCAAAGAGGCACAAAGTCCCGAGAAAGTCCTCTTTCAATGAGGCACAAAGCCTGAGAAAGTCCTCTTCCGAAGAGGCACAAAGTCCCGAGAAGGTCCTCTTCTAAATAGGAACAAATCCCTGAGAAAAATCCTCTTCCAAGAGGCACCAAATCCCTGAGAAAAGTCCTCTTTCGAGAGACACTAAGTTGAATCCTTACCCACAAGGTAACGAGACCCTCCAAAAAAAAGGAGATCCTCTTGTCGAGGTTCCAAGAAAAGTTTTATCCCATGAGGCAACCCACTGAGTCATATAGTTTTGAATCTATCTCGTTCCCCGAGACAGACTCAAAACTAGGGGGGCATGTGATGGATTAGGGATTTTTCGTAATCCAATATTATTTGAACAGTACAAGAAAGCCCAATTTTATCTGGCCCAAGATATAAATCAGATAAATTATTCATCTGTCTTGGTCTCTATATACCTGTCTTCTTATATAAACTTCACTACACCTCTGTAAACCGCCCTGGGCACCTTGTGATAGTGTACCTTTGGTGTACGGCGTGTACCCGAAGTGTACCTGTTACAGGGGAGAACAGAGGTAGTTAATAAAGGAAGAGGGGAAATTTACGTCCGATGCTTCCTCCCTCCTCCCTCCGGTTTTTCCTACTAGTTCTACTACTATTCTTCATTTTTCTTCTTCTTTATGCTTGGAGCTCCATTAATGGCTCCAAGCTCCTACAATGATGTATATGTAAATTCCCTCGAGATTAATAAAAGTTCCTCCCCCTTTGGCATGGCACTGCCTAAAAAGGCTCGTGGTTTTCTCCCGATTTGGGTTTCCACGTATAAATACTTTCTCTCCGCTTTATTTATTTATTTAATTTCCGGATTTCGCTATTCGGTGTGGTGCCGACCCGGTACCGATTTCATCAGGTCGGCGCCCCGAAAAAGCGGTTTCCATCAAATAATTATAAGCATAATATTAATAGTAATAGTAATAGTAATTACAATACTAATAATAATGGTAATAATAGTAATTGTAATTATAATAATATTAATTTTGTATAGATCTGGTCTGATCTAATTGGATCTGATGTGATCTGATCTAATTGAATATGATCTGATCTGGTGTGATCTGATCTGATTTTAATAAAAATAAGTAATACGCAAAAAAAAGTTGAACGCAAAACTGCCTAAGAAACTCATACTGTGATTGACCGTGAGAAATAATGCAATACCATCTTCCCTATATATAGTGGATGGCTTGCATATTATCTAGCCAAGTGTCTATTCTCAAAATAATACAACGGTGCAATATTTTAAATTATTCAGTAGTATTTGGTACACTTTTAAATGTTACGAGTAAATTGTATAATTCTCAAAAAGTTTGGGGGTAAACGGTGCATTTTTTATTATTCATGGTTAAACCGTGCAATTTTAGCTATAAATAACTTACATACAGAGTAATTTTCAAATTCTATGTTATCTTTATAAATAAATCGTGTATCATTTAAGAATATAATTCTTAATTTTTAACCAAGAATATAAAAAATAGTATTTAAGAACATTTTTTGATAATAAAGCATTTATAACAATTAATATCATAAATTCTTCTAGCCAATTTCGTAGAAGAAGAAACAGAAAAAATCTAATTTTGCGCGAAGAATTAAAGGTCATCCCTCAAAAAAAATTATAGCCTTAAAGGCAATGCATAAAAAATCCATAAAAGTCAATGATGACATGGCTCTTGAAGTGTTTAAAAAATGTCCAGTGTGCCAAATGTCGTCATTCTAGAAGCTCAACTCTCAAATTTTACGTATAAAGATTCAGGAGTATTTGGTACACTTTTAAGTATTACGAGTAAATTGTATAATTTTCAAAAAATTCGAGGATAAACAGTGCATTTTCTAATGTTCAGGATTAAAACGTGCAATTTTCAAAGAATTCGGGCTAAACGGTGTACTTTTCTCAATTCCAAACAACAACCAAACCCAAACAAACCATGTGAATAATAAAAATAGGGACTTGCAAAAATACCAGACCCAGGCCAATGCCCAAACTCCAAATCCACTTTTGTTTGGTACACAAGCACTAATGAGTGGTTTATTGAGAAAGTAAATGTTTGAATACTCAAATTTAATCAATCGGCACCAAGACTGAAATAAACCACTGAAACTGAATATAAACCACAAAATTTGGTCACCCATTACAACACTACCACAAAAAGTATGGTTTGACAAATACTTATGCCAATGGAGGAGGGTATTGCTTGGCCTGCTCTCTAACTCTCCGATCATACTCCCTCCGGTCCTGCACATATAAGACTATTGTCATCAAAGTACCACCTCCGTCCCGCTATATTCGTCCACTTTTAACTTTTGGAACTATTCATCTAAGCACTTTGACTCATCAAATTCTCTCAATGTGTAAGCCTAACTATAGTCATGTGTGATCTTGTTTGATTTGTCTTAACATATAGATTATTAATATATAATTTCTATAATTTTTTAATATACAAATTACAAGATAAAATGGATTAAAGAAGTGCATTGGATGGTGTGTAAAAATGAAAGTGGACAAATACTCTGGGACGGAGGGAGTAATTACTAATATCAAACCCATCAATTGCATGACTAACATTTCCAACCTGAAATTGATTTGTCAAGGTATTTGAACAATTTGACCAAAAAAGTCAAAAGTGTGTCTTTAGTTTTGAGACAGGAGTAGGCTATTAGAATCACCACAAATTAAAGAAATAAATACAAAAAAGAATTGTTCTTAAATACAGGAATAAAAAAGGCTGACTTTCACTGTTACTCCTTCAAGTTATTGCATCATGCACAGCTAGTCCTTTACATTTTAAAATTTCACGAATAGTCCTTCATGTCATGTTAGTGATGCATGGTTTGTCCTTTAACTTTGAAAATTTTACGAATAGTCTTTCAGTCTTTGAAATCACATTGGTGTTGCATAGTTGGTCCTTCCATTTATTTTGGGGTTAGCCTATGCTTTTTTTTCATTTTAAGTACATGTGAGGAACCCTTATTCATATACAATGGAACCATATTTAATATGGGTCCATGTTCTAATAATAATACTTACTCTTACTTTTTTTCCTCTAATTTTTTAAACAAAATAAGCTAGTTTTGTTTTTATTAGATTAATTTTTTAAAATATTCAATCTGTCTTTAAGTGTTTATTAAATTTTAACTTTAGTCAAATACGCTGAATTTCTTACCAATAATTAAGTTAAAATAAATATACAAAAAGTATGACTTAACTGTATGAAAATGAGAAGGTTCCTCATGTGTATTTATAATAGAAACCAAAAAAAGTATGAACTAACGACAAAACTAACAAAATGACCAACCATGCAACGCTAAGCTAACGTTACTTGAAGGACAATTTGTGGAATTTTCAAAGTTGAAGGGCTAACCATGCAACGCTCACATGACTTGAAGGACTATTCGTGGAATTTTAAAAGTTGAAGGGACTAACCATGCAACGCTCACATGACTTGAAGGACTATTCGTGGAATTTTAAAAGTTGAAGGGACTAACCGTGCATAACGCAATAACTTGAAGGACCAACAGTGGAATTTTACCGATAAAAAAAGAGCTTTGACAATTTCAAAGTGAATGACTACGCATTACATAAAGATGCTTGCAGAATAAAACAAAATAACAAAGTAACAAAGGGCAGTTGCCTCCCTCTCAATGATATCTCTATAAGTCTCTGGTGGGGGGTATGAGAGGAGGAGTGGATGGTTCGGTCGTTAGCATGGAGAAAATAGGAGGAGACACAAGTGTCTCCTTCCATTTTCTCCACATTCAAGACTGAAACCACACACTGCTCCTCTCAGTCCAAACCTTACCACATTACTAATGTGTGTGCGCATGTACTAGTCGAAAAGGGTAAACCCGAGGGTCCTTTATATCAAATCTAAATTGTTTTGAAAATGAGGAATACTACCGCTTACCCGAACAAAGAGGTCACATACATCTCTTTGAGCAGGGTCCGCTGGATTTGGATGATCTAACAAATCTTGGATACCAATCAGAATCTGCCTTACTGTAATGGCTGGTTTCCAACCCTAGAATGTGGTTTTAAATAAGTAATAGCTGTGATTTTTTTTTTTGTTTGGGAAAATAAAAGGTTGGAATGATTATTTTTTTTTGTAGATATACCTTGTATTCATTGAGGATCGAAAGGCAAACGTTTCCAGAAGTATGGATATTGGGGTGGAAAAATCCTTGGGGAAATTTGCACTCTGGCGGTTTGATTGGGTAGTCTTCACTGAAATGCATTGTGAGAGGGTAGTGACCTCCTTCCCAAATAGTCTGCAACAAGAACGATTCCCAATTAATGATTACCAACTATTGAGCAAGTAAGATCTACATTTGAAATTATACGAATTAAAGAATTGGCTGCATATGAAAAACGGTCAAGTTCTCCAACTTAGAGGATGTCTGGGAATGATTAAGTTATGGGTAAGTAATTTTTCGACAAAAACTACAATCTACTTTTCCGAAATGGTGTTCCATGTGCAAAAAATGGTAGTAGAGAAAAGTAGAAGTTGACATGCCAAATAAAAATAAAACGGCTACCACCCAAAGCCCAAACACCCTCTTATGATCATAATTGAAATTTGAAAGCATATCATAAGACAAACATGTTTTTTTGCGCCATTTATCCCTAACTTTTAAAAGAATTGCAAGAATTTCCCCTAAAATATAAAAATTGAATCAATGTCCCTTGAACTTTTAAAAATGTTGCACCACTACGTCATCTGCACCAAATTTGGGATTGCATTAATCGCACACTTATCTAATACAAGTATGGATTCATCTAAAGTCATACTCCCTCCGTTTGGAAAAACACTTCCCATTTGATTTGGGGGCAAAAATAAGGAAATATTAAATTATAGTTGATTTCTAATTTTTCCCCTGATGTGATGGGTAAAAGTAAGATGTGATGGATAGATTATTAGAGAAAAAGTATGATGTGATAGGTAAGGTATGAAAAAGTAAGGGTAAAAGTGGTTTTTTAATAAAAAGGGATGTGTTTTGTTGGAAGTAGAAAAAATGAAAGAGGAAGTGTTTTTGAGAACGGAGGGAGTATCTCACACATGAATTTTTCAATATGCCCTTCCCAAACATTATTTCTATATTTTTAACACCTTTAAACCCTTGATAATTATTCTCGATTTTAGTCATTAATAACCAAATTCGAAAGCCGGATATCAATCGATAAAGCTCGTCATCAAGCGATCAACCTCTTCATCAATCTATGGCATATTAATCAAGATCAAACATAAATATTGATGAGCGTGTGATTAATGTACTCCCAACTCAGGCACAGAGGGGAGGACCACTGGTGCAACATTTTTAAAAGTTAAAAGGTCATTGGTGCAATTCTTAATGTTCAAAAGGAATTCGTGCAATTTTTGAAAAGCTCAGGTGTAAATAGAGCAAAATCTCTCAGACAAACACAATCATTGATTTGATGGAACTCAATACAAATGAGTGTGAATCTAATTTTACAATAATGAGAAATCAAAGTAATAGTGATGATGGCATGGAAACATATATACCCCGGCCTTTCCAGGAATACTGCATTGCCACACCATCATGTTAACCAAACCACCACGCGTCTCCGGCTTAGCAATGAAGCCCTGATGAAAACCGGAACCAATTTGAGAAAAACGAAAAGATATTCTCAGACAGACAGATGGATAAATAAAATCGAACAAGAGGAGAGGGATAGAACATGGGGGTGATTCTTGCGCCATGATTTCCGCTCCTCCGCCAGACGATCGCCGGCGATTCCCGTTGACATATTCTCTTCACCGGAATTTCTATCTCTGTGGTTGAGGAATGGCCCAGCACTTATCAATTTAAATAGATACTGTGAAGGCGACCGAACGTATCCCAGTCGATATATGCAGTCAAAGGCGCCAATAGATTGCGCAATTCCCAAAATGGTACCTAACTTTTTATACTCTATCTTCAATTTTGCCTTTTCTCCTTCGGTTAGACTACCTGTCATCCCAAGCTCACACTAAATCAGTCACTCAGAGTACTTCAGCTCACACTACTCTATCTTCAAATCTTCAATTCTACTCCATCTTAATATCTTAGAGCACTGGTAATACGTTTGAAGCCCCGGGGCTTCAAACCGGAGCTTCAAACTTTCTCTCTCTGCCACGTCAGCTTTAACTTACACCCAAAATTCACTGGAAATGGGTTTGAAGTCCCAGGGCTTCAAACCTTCATTTTTTACATTTTTAAATATACATCTTCTAAAATTAAATTAATAAAATGTAATTAATTTTTTATTTAATTAAATTGAAACACGAATAATAAAAAACACATTAATTAAATAAAAAAAAAAGCGACAATAATTTAAAAAAAAGATACATTAATAAAAAAACTAAGGAAAATTATATTTCTCCTTGATCTCTCTCATTCTTTGCTCGTAGATAATTCGTCCAAACTCCGACAACGTCGCGGGGTCGGTTTGCATGACTTTCATCTCGGCCTCCTGCTCCTTTAGCTTCAACTCCTTCTCTTTAAGCTTCATCCTCTCTTGTTCTTGGAGATTGAACGCCCGAAGTTGTTCAACCATTGTCCGGCCGATTTCGTCGCGGGGAGAAGCAGAAATAGAGGCGGACCCTCCCGAACCAGAGGCAATGGATTTTGCCTTCTTTCTTCCGATCGGCCGTGGAATGGGGTCCTCGTCATCGGAAACCGCAACGTTGAAGGAAGGGATTTGATCGGTAGAACCGATGGTCTCGTCGACCTCAACCTCGGCGTCGACGGTGGATCTTTTCCGGAATGATACGCCGTCGGGATTGTTGAGTTGTTGCCACTTCGGGGAACGACTCAAAA